ATTCATTTGTGTGTATGTATATATGTATAAGACGAATCAAGGGATCGGAAAGACCTTTTCAAAATGATAGCTATATTCTAATAATCTGCTACCTCGTAAGCTAGAAAATTTTTGAGAAAATTGAATTCTTAGACAAAAAGAAAACTTGCATACCTTTTAAAAATCAACTTTTTAATATGATTAACTTTTTGAACCTTTAACCTCACTTTTTAAAGATGATTAAATAATATAACATTTTAATATCCACTAAGTTTATCAAAACTATTACGCTGGTAACGTATTGTTTTCAAAAGGAAACTTTAAAATTATCCTTTTGTCTCTGATACCCCAATTTTTTCCGAGACCATTAGACCCTGGGCATTTTAAGTTCAGAATGTAATGGCCTAATTAAGTATATTTACGATGTCAACAAGCTTCGTATCTCTATTTAAGAGAGTAGTTCTAGGGCAACAAGGGCTAACAGAAAAATTTACTGTATATTAATAAGATACGGCGTATAAAAAGATATATTTCGAGGGAATGACGCTGTTGGTTATCTTTGGTTTAAAGCTTTCAGTTTATTTTCTAACAATACTATTTTCTTTTATAAAAGGGTATATTAATATCACTACAATAATAGCCTACATCCAAAGCTGAAAGCATTATTTTTTTTTTTTTAAATTGATATTCTTAAACATACTCGCAATTCCGACGCTCGCAGAATTTATTTTATTTAGTGAAACTTCATTACTTTCGAATTTACAAGGTCTTAATGTGATTTTTATTTCAGTTCAAAGCAGGCACGAAAGTTTCTGACATAAATACCACCAGACTCCAATTTACGTAGTAAAATATGTGCTCATTGACTAAATTGAATATTTCTTAGTTGCCCATTTGTTTTTATACGCATTTAATACAGATTAATATGAATGAATTTGTTTTCTTTTTCTATTCTTTATAGAATTGTATGGGTGCTATAAATGTTATTTATTCATCCATCATCAGCATATCGCAGTCCACTGCTGGCCAAATACTTCTCTTATTTATTCATAGTGATCGGTGATTCGCCATCTGTAATCGTGAAACGGCGACTTTAGTGGTATAAAGGCAAGGAGCACGAAGTATAGAAATGGACATTACATAAGTAACACCACCGTACTACCTTAATTTTTTCTGGTGTTCTTTTACTTAATTGTGTTTTTAAAATGTTCTGTAACATCTTTTGAAATGTATGAGAAATGTCTCGGAAAGATTTTTCCAAACCAATTCTAAAATCGATTTTAGTTAATGTCATCTAACGTACGCGTAAGTCCACTTGCATTTATTGTAGAACAAAAAAGTTTAAAACTTGTAAATCTTAGTGTTTAAAGCTTAGTGAAAAAATCATAGTGACGGAAAGGTACGGCTCAAGGCTCTGTTCTTGGACACTGACAATACCTCAAGTACGTAAAAATAATCTGGCAAACCTAATAAAAAAAACTGTGAAATGTACCAGTTTGTAGACGACACTTGGCCTAATCTTCGTGAGAACTAATGTCATTAAAGCTCAAAATTGTCTACAAAGCACTTCAACCCCCTTTTTAAAGGGTCGCATGAGCTGGATTGTTTTCAATGAAAAAGCCCAAAGTGGTATTTCTTCCCATTCAAAACAGAAGTTTTGGGGCAACAAAACTCATAGACACTATCATGGGTTACATACGCTAACCACTTTAAAATTGGAATTTTTCCTTGAAATTTTGTACACAATAGAAAATTGAGACACAAACCTATCTGGGGACAAATTTATCTCAACCACAAATTTTTTAAACAACACAATGAAATTTTGCAAAATAAAACTATCTCCCAAAATTTCTCCTTAATAAAGCAAAAAATACCTAAAAAACACTCCCCACTTATAAGTCTCGGGCAGATTAAATAATTCAACTTAGTTTAAAAAGATTTACCCGTAAAAAAAAAAATAATTTAAGAACCGCTACAAAAAACAATATTCGATTTCTGAAAAAATAATTCCGAACATCGAAATAAAACTAACTTACAAACCAGATACTTTAACGTAGATTTTAAAAAAATACAAAGCCCGGATACACATGGTAAAAAAAACCCCGTAGCGTAAATAAAAAAAATAGTACACTATACAAATTTACGGAAAAGAAGTCTAAAACATAGTCCCTTCTTAAAAAATGAGCCCCAAAATCCGAAAAAACTTCATTTAAAAAGAAAACATAAGTATTAATAAAATTGAAAAAACACTTTTAAAAAATTAAATCGCCCTTTTTTTTAATCTGAAATAACTTGATGTGAACTTTGCGCTTAAGCAGCATTTTGTATATACCCTCATTTTATTTATTGATGCTTTTGTTCTATTGATTTGCATTTTGTGATATTTCGAAAATGTAAGTAAAATATGAAAAATTTTAGACGGTAAAACTCGAAGAATTTTATGTTGCATCTCCATCTACATGTTTTGTATTTGTATCGCAAAAACAATAAATAAAAAATAAAAAATACAAATTTTGGGAGATTCTATTAGATTTGTAAAACAAACATTTTTTTAGGAAGTACGCCCATTTCATCTAAAAAATTTTATTTGAATAAAAAATTTTTGTAGATACCCCATCACAAAATGCATTCAAATATTTTTTTTAAAAATTCAGAGTGTTCTAAATTTAATTTCAATTTAGTAACTGTTTTCAAACACACCCACAATCTTTCTTTTCTTTAGTAATTTCTGTTTCCCTGTACATATCGGAGAGAGAACTCGCGACGTGAACGTTACTGTTCGGCGTACATTGAATATTGATATCGAGCGTCGGCGTTTTTTCAGTATTAGAGCGCAGGTCTACTCTATAAATTATATACCAACTATACAGTAGACTAGCCGTTCCCCGTAGCTTCATTGTCGTTTCTTGGCACTGCTCCGATTTTAAGTGTCGTGGCGTGATCCTAATAGCTTATAACCTTTCCCAAGAGCTTAGGTTAGAATGTCCAATATTAAAAATTGCCCGAATTACAGTTCCGGAGTTCTATCTAATTTTTAAGAACCTTTTTATCTTTAGTTTATTAGGTATTTTTATACACACAATCTATGTCTAATACACAAAAACTATAACTACTATACCTGTTTTTACTTACTAATACTTAATTTAAGTGTATAAGTAGGTACACGGAGACAGTATAAAATGGTATACTTTATAGTCCAGGTTTGTGAAACAGTATTATTGGCCTTTAGTCACTATAAGTAAGTCAAATAAATCTTTGAGTTAATATTTAAGGAAGTTATTATTACTACACATCAACGAAACATAACAGCGTAAAATTGGCGCTGACGTCAATAAACACTATTTATTCAGTTAGCCATGAGTAGGTTATACTTGTTTTAACTAAGTTTTGGCAAAAAAAAATGCCAGATTTTTAAAACTTTGCGTTCAAAAGTTATTTCAGTTTGTAGTTTGCAGACAGGCTGTACTAAAAGTCGATACCAATGAGAACTGGGTGTCACAAAGACATACTACAGCGCCATGTAACGAAGACACACCGAACTACATAGTAACTCTGAATGAGAATTGCTAATCCTGTATCGCGATATGAAGAATTCTTTCGCTGATTAGCATATATATACAACTTCCCAACATCACCGTTGGGGCATGATCACCTCGCCTGGTCGGAGGATCCTCCCTTTGTATTGGAGGAACATGACACCCAAGTTTAACCTAGATATCTTTCAAAATCAATATTTTATAATTTTGTTGAAGCGTTAAATAAAATGATGCCCTGTCAAATCAGTTTAATTACTTATTTTGCACAATGTTCACGAATAATCTAATCGAATGAATTAAAGTTACTTTCCTTGAATTAGTTGATTTAAAATAATAATTCCTTTATTACTTCGTCTAATTTGTAGCAGTCCATCGTCGACATTCCATCGACAGTCTATTAATACAATATTAAAATAGCAGAATTGAGGCCCTGATTGAAAAACAGGTTATTTATAGAGAAAGCGTACTGAAAAAACTAACGTGCTCATATCAAGATTATTTTTCTTTAGGAATCGTAAACCTTTGCTCTCTGCTCACAGGATCACAATCGACTAGGTCCAGAAATATCTCATATTCAGTACCTACATGGAGTGCAGTCTCATTTATCAACACGTGTTAGAAAAAATCGAACTATAAATTATTCAGATAAAAGTTATTGAATTTCATACGTTATCTTATCTTTCAATAGTGCATACACTCAACCAATTTTATTTCGGTAACTATAGAGACCCAATAAATAAATATAAATAAAGGATGCCGTTATATTATCTAACCAATTAATATGTGTTTTGTTTGTGAATGTCTGAATTTATAGTTTTGGTTGTGTTAGAGTGCATTTTCCAATAATAAATGCAAACGTATGACTTATCGGCACTTTACTATTACGCCGTTAATCAATTTTTGTAAAAGTCGTTGTCTAATGTAAACAAATCGAATTACTCGTATAAAGACGTAATTTAAAGTAAACATTCGGGCAATTTTGTATGTTATCAATTTTTAGATAAAATTTCGAAATCAATTTCAAAATCATTCCAGAAAGAAAACACTGTAGAAAATGAATATCACGCTTTATATAAACTTCACGTTTTTCTTTTGAAATCATCAAGTCTTCAACAGTTAGTAATGATAAATTAGTAGTTGAGACGACGCGGACGGTAAATGTTAGAAGTCCCTGTATATGTGTAGTAGTCAGTGGGAGTGTAACTACAGTAGCGAATACAAGCGAGCGCGACCCTGGCGACCCGGCCACCGCCCGCACATGCGCACATACATACTACCACTTCACAAATCCTAAAATGACGGCGATGAGCAACACATCGTACTAACACCTCTTAAAATAAATACAAATAACCTGCAAAAGTGAAGTTTAAACAACCTTTTAAGTTCTTAGTTACATCGCTTAACGATATTGTATAGTTCGCGAACAAACATATACACAGGCGTGATTCTGTGTTTAAAACAAACCAGTGCTTTTGCGATGTAAACATGAACGAACGTAAAATCCTGTTTTTTATTCTTGCCGTGATCGTTTACTGTATGTACAGTGTACACATGTGGTTTATAAAACAAAATATAGAAGAGAATGTTCGATGGTGTCCGAAAATAGACAGAACCCAAATTGTATCAGAATTTGGTACAAAAAATCAAATACAGCCGAAAGAATTAAATTTAAAAAAAAAAAATCATTCCATTGTTCGTAAAAGATGGGTGTAGCGTTTTAGAAGTATTTACTGAAAAGCCACCGGCAAAATACAAACATAGTCAAAAGCAGGAACAATTAAGTAGCGACAACAACACTATAACCGTCATAGGCATCACTGTATTTCTCGTCATACTATTGATAAATGCAATATTAGAAGCTATTCAAGCAAAAGAAGATGAAAGAGCTAAAAGGAAGCTAAATCCAGACGGAGAACGTAGACAGTCTTTAGCAGAATTTGCTAATAAAAAGCCTTTACGTAGAGAATCTAGTAGATTGGATTCCAGCTGTTCCAGATTGCTGAGTCATTTGTAAATACATCGGAAGAAAAAAATAAAACAACACGCCGTCAGGCTAGACCATACATTAGAGGGGAGTCTATTAACTCGTACCTCAGTGAGCAACATAGAAAATCTCAAGAAGGATCGGCGCCTGCATCAATCAACGAAATCCCTGCCGGGGAACCAAGACTTGTCAAAAGACAATCAGTGGCCAAACTTTTTGGTATGCTGTCTATTGCTATTTCTAATCTATTTCGTACTAAGAAATAAGGTCGATCATTTAAAGTTATGATTTAAATGCAAGTCTGTTTCTTTAACAATCGAAACTTTTAATGTAAAAAATATGAATGCAATATTTATATTCGTCTTCTTTAATATTCTGTCTCTTCTATCACTGTTTTTTATTTTCTGTTTCATAACAAGGTCTGTCTGACGACTGAAAAAGATTTTCAGGTAATTGATGTTACTCACGCTACTACTTAAAATTAGACTTCATTGATGACACACTCTTTTAGTACTATTATTCTTACATATTTCTCTTACGTCGTAGCTTTGATATCAACTTAATTGTGTCTTGCGTAACTTAGATTCAACCATACTATTACCATTGCAGTTTTAAATTTTTTATAAATACAAAATTTTTTGCATGTAATCATGGTGCCTTTTTCTTACCTTTAAAATATTTATTACTTAATCACTCCATCAATATCTCAATCATTTAATACGGAACAAAAAAACTTTATGTTAAGTTGGCAGTACCTATATTCTGTATATGATCAATAAAACTCACAATCTATTGAACATTTGATTACATTCCAAATGGTTAATCAAAGGTTTCATATGTAGACTACACCATAACCATAATTTTCCATCGTACCTCATGTTGTGGGGGATTTAGGTGGCACTTAATTGGCTTTTAGTTGTATTAAATCGGTTTAGTGTAGAACCCCTTTATCCAATTTATAATTACTTGTTAACTGATGAAATAGAGGGATGGGACTTCAAATGGTGGTAATTGGTAGCAGTTTACATAACGTTAAACTCTTTATATGCTTATATTCGCCGTACCCTTCTTATTGATTGTTGTTAATTAATACATATAATAAATGACTAAGTCAAATATTTTGGTATAATTCTATATACAATGTTCGTAAATGCGAATTTCATAATAAATTGTTTTTAGCAACATTTAAAATTATGTTTTTTCCAATTTAAACATTATTTTGTGGTTTTCGTAGACGTATTTTAATACCTTTGTTTTGTATGTGAATATATATAACCTCTGCAGAAATTGTCAAAAAAAGGGTGTTAAAGAAATGTTTTTGTTTGTTTTAAAAATTGAGATTCTCATACATAGCTGCGTATTTTATGAACGGCCCGGTGTCCATGAAATGCATTTACAGTTACAAATAATTCAAAACAAACACATATTTTTACATTACACACAAAGAAAAACCACGCAACAAAGTAAAGGGAATAAAATTCTTAACTTATAAATCCGGACAACTTCTACTATAAAACTACATTTCATATTTTACACTGTTATTAAATTAAGGTTAGAAGCAAAATCTAGAAATTTACTCATCTAATACCCTATTTAATATAATATTTTTACATTTGCATTTCATTGCAATCGAAAAGATATTCTCACTAAATAACGAATACATTTTGACTTTTAGTAGCATTTTATAAGATATCTTTTCTCATTCGTTTTATGGTAATATTGCCCTTTCACAGAAATTGCTTGCTTTGAAAACCATAGATAGCTTAAAAATATTATACCATCAGAGACGTTAGTAACTTTCATAGACTATTTTGAAAAACTATGCAATATCCCTGAGTATTGAAACATTCTTTAAATAAAGCTTATTGTTCTTTTTAATGCCATTTCAAATGGCTTATTGTAGCTTTTGCTGTCATTACGCGTTTAAGTAAAATGAGCGTTGTAACATTGGAGATCAATTTTCATTTAAAAATGATTTTGTCCTGTTTCATGGCAGGCGCGCGTCCAGTGCCAATGGTTCGTCGTTTCGTCATTTCCAGCGCTGCCCTTGAATCCAAAAGTCCAGGCTATGATGCTAGGTCACCGGCATCAGTCTGTGGATAGCGATGATGAAAGCGATGGCAAGGGACGTCGTGTACGACTTATTCGTAGATTTTAATCCTCAATTGTATATATTGCTGAGGCAATGTATATGTCTCTAGTCTCTTTTCTCTGTTTAATATATTTAAAAATCGTTTGTTCTTCGTTTGGTTTCGCAGACAATAATCAGTTTAGTCTTCACTGACTAACATGAATGGTTTAAATAGTTGTTTTTCTTAGACATTATTGAATTTAATTTATCAATATGACTTCTGTATTATTTATATATTTGGCAGATTTTTATAGTATGTTTAAAGTGTTTTGTATAAGATACAAAAATTATAATACATTCGTATCATAATATAAAATTAAAGCTTTAACATTCACGGCAAACAATGAATATTCTATTTCGACTTTTTTGATTTCCAAGATATAAATACATTTAGTATTAACTTTTAGTCTCGTATTCATGTTTATTCATCAAAATTATTCGTAGTTTTAATCCAAGGTATACGTAACTATAGGAATTATAGATGTTTAGACATTCAACCTTACTATCAATATGATACAGATTAATTGAGAGGAAGAAGGAAAAAATAGTAGAAATAGTTTTCTACGTCGAAAGATTATGGCATTTTACTTGAGTGGCAAAAGTGATAGAAGTGGAAATTGGATAAATTTATAATTGATGTGATATTTATTATTATATAAAGTGGTTTAAGTGAATGTTGATTGAATATTTGTTAGTGAGTAAGTACGAAGAATCAACTGAGACCTTTAAATGGAAGTGTTTCTTTATTTATCGATTTGATTTGAAATACAAATTTAAATAACATATTAAGATTCTGTATAAAATTGATCGTCATATCAAATATTCTATAACTGTCTTGACTTCGTTAAAATTGGTTCGTTTACTAATTAATGACTTTAAATGTCGTGTGTGTTGCCTATTATTCCAATTACCTTCGTATCATTGCTGGGCTTTAATTTGAATTAAAAACATCCATAAACCCATTGACAATATATTAAACTTTATTCTGTTGATACCTCGTAATGAGGGAACTTAGAATTTAAATCGCCAATGATACAAGCGAAACCATGTTACGTAGTCTTCGATCTGAAGAAAGGGAATTGTGTAAAAATATTTAAATATTATCAATTATTTTATTACCTTTATTTTGCAAATATAAGAATCACTTATTTTCTAACTCAGAAGCAACTTACCCACCCAGTTCAACGGTAAATTCTCTATCAGAATTAAAAAGAGAATCAGAATATTATTCTTAACAAGTTTGATCTTCTCTAAGCCGAAATTTACAACAATTACACCCAGTGTCTATAAAACCCTTACTTAAATCTGATGATGTACCTTAATTACTTCAAAATCTGATCTTTAATCTATTTGTACTGAATGTGTGATAATGACGTGTATATTTATAGTAGTGGATACTATGTGAGCAACATTTTGTATGGCACCTTTTATTAATTATAAAAGAATATATAAATATTCCATGTAGCTTTTCTTGAAAAAGTACAATTTGATTATACTTTCTTTTTCTAAGGCGTGTTACAATATTTATACATGATACCAGAGGTGGATTACTTACCAAGAGCCCCTAGGCAAGCATCTAAATCGGCGCCCCCGCCCCCTCGCCCTGTCGAGAGCCCATAGGTGTCAATACAGCTTTAATTAGGACGTCCGAGCCTTTCTTTTTTTTAGTGACAGATGGCCTCACCTATCCCGCCCAGGCCTGCACGTATGGAGGATAGACGTGCCAGAAAAGAACTGTGTAAAAGATCACCCTCAAGCGCGCGCATATTCTGCGCGATTAGAGCTTCCACACAGCTGCATTTTGTAGTAAACTGCATTTTTGTGTACACGCACTAGCTTGGTATCAGAGTATGAAAGCAAAGAAGTAGTAGAAATTACGTAATATAATCCTAGATGTGAACCTTAAGCATCTCTTTACATTAAGGTTTATTTTTATATTGTGTAAGTATGTGCATATTGTGCATACTTACTGACACAGTTCTTTTAATGTTAGGCATTTATTTTTTCTTGTGAAACCTTCTCCCGCGCGCGCCCCTATGCAACCTCGCGCCCCTAGGCACGTGCCTAATTTACCTTAGGGTTAATCCGCCACTGCATGAAAAAATCTTTATTGCAAGCTCTGATAATATTAGATAATGTTACGGTCTCTTTACTTGTAAAGAACTAAATCAAAGCAGAAACGGTTATTATTTCTCCATATAGTAGAAATAATAATAAAAACTTCACAACAACTTCACAACTAGGAAAGCCTGTGCTATGCTAACCAGACTGCTGATAAACATACTTATATATTTCTAAATACATACATATTATCAATAAATTACACCCACACACAGAAGAAATGATTGTGGGCACAACATAAATATTTGTCCTGAGTGGGAAGCGAACGCAGGACCTATGGCTTAGCAGTCAGTAAATAAAGACGGCAGAGGGTACACCTGGTGCCCGGCTACTGGCACCCGAGACGGCGTGCGGGTTTTTAGTCGGGTCGAGTCCGACATAACCACCCTACTGGTGAGTGGGAGCCGAGGGATTGCCGCACAGAAAAAAAAGGGATGGAGGCGTTGGTATAACCCAGGAAGAAATTATCTTGACCCCCAACAGACTTTGCACCCTGTCCAGATGACCCACAATTTTGCAATCGTGAGAAAAAGCTGCGTCACATCATGATCAGCTGTGAACATTTAAGACTACCTTTTCAGCCCTATTTCCTTTTGCTTCATTTTCAGGTTATCTTTTCCAGCATCTTCTGGCCATACAAGTTACACAATTATTGCTTCTGTGAATACAGGCATTGTTAAGGCGTATATCATATTATTGACTTGTCCATTACAAATATGTATGTTTTGAGCGCTACAAATCCTGCATTATTAATCGGCATGTTGCCATGGGTTGACATGGAAACTGAGCTTGAATAGAATTTTTAAAAATTACTAATGCATATTTTTTGATTGAGTTAATGATAAGTAATAAATTTCATATACTGATGACAAAATCATTTGAATATATTTTACTATGCCAAAATTAAATTTACTTATTAAAAGCATCTTGCACCGTCGCATATTTTTTTTAAATGTAGCATCAGGAACTTATTAAAATAAATTAGTTCGTACCTCGTCGGCAGATGCGACAGGAGGGCTCATTATGTAGAGAGATTTAGCTAAGAGCACATATTTATGAGCGATGATTATTATTTATAAGTAATTGGAATATCAGTCGTCCTTTAGTAGAAATATTGAAGACTTTTAATTTTGCTAATATCTTTACCATGATAACTTTAATAAGTATCTAGCTCAGTACTAATAATGTTTTAATGACACTGACTGAGAACATTTTTCTATAATATGTTTTATCTATCAGAAACCGTAATTACAAATTATAGCTTATGAGTTCAAAATGACGGTTTTTTTGAAAAGGTAAAAAAAAATAAAAGTAATACAAATTTGATGTTTAAAATGGTGTTTCCAGCCTTACATCTCAAACAAATAAAATATCGCCCCAATAGGATAGGTGTTATATATGTAGGTTAATCCTTAATCTAATACTACAGTGCCTTTGGCTAAAAACTGAAAACATGCTTATTGTAACATTCTCTGCGTAAAACCCAAGAAAATTGATGTAATATTTAACAATATGACTCCTCTTTTGTGACAACACAGGCCAAACCCGGTTCTATAAACTTCTAAGGATTAATGAGAGAACGTTTATGATGGATGGCATGGATTGATGGATACAGTGTTGTGCCTCAAGAATCTTAATTAAGAAAAAACTCAATCATAATCAAGGTAAATAGATAAAAAGATGTACAAATAGGTACTCATTATTGCATTTAAAAAGTGCTATACAAACTAAAATCATAATATTAGTAATAGCGCAATGTACGGTCTGCGATCTCTTTTGTACTTAGTACTTACACATACGAGTACAGTACAGTTGTACTGAGGTTATTCGTATATACATACACCCATCATCAACACCCTTTAATAGACCACTGCTGGACATATGCCTCTCCTTATAACGGAGGTTTTGGCCTACTATATCACGCTGGCCAGATGGGTTCGTATAGAGTTTATTTCAAGTTTTCCTTTCTTTTTATAGTGCTATTGTCTTGCGTAGTTTGATCCTAAGTCGGCTCTTACGGCATTCAAGTGATGAATAGGGTAGTGACATGCTGTATTCTTAATCCGTCACTAAAACGGATATTTGCATGTTAGGAACATACTCGTATTAACGAATCCTTCATTAATCTTAATTCAATGAGTAAAAGTGACTATTTCAATTTCTTTTATTATTTTATAGATACGTTTTGGCACAAGTATCCAACCGATCTCGACTAAATACATAATTATTATTTATTTAATGATATTTATTTATTTAGAAACAGATGGCGTTGATATTTCATCAATAATGTAGATCCATTATTTATTTTTGTAAATCAAATGTCCTCGACCTAACGCCACCCGTTGTGTTGGAGCGCCGCCAAACTCTTCATCCAGTGAACAAATCACACCACCTGGTACTGTTTTTTGCTTGTGTTTTTCATGGTTAAGCATTTAAAAAATCACAACATCCAAAACGTAAATAATTACTGTTTTGCATACCTAGTAACCAGAATTTTATAAATTAGGCCAGATATTCAATCGACGACCGAATTAATTTTCACGATAAACTATAGCAAAGACCTTGTTATAGATTTAAAAATAATTCACATGCGTCCGTACGCGTTCAGATGCAGTCTTCTTCAAACGGGATTCAAGAGAGCGCGCTTCTCTTTTATACTGACTTGTAGGCACACTGATGAATTTCCAATTTAATTAAAGTAAGGCCAAAAAGCTTAAATTTACAGTGATTTAGTAAGAGTAAATGTCTTGAAGTGTCGTGAAATATGAACAGTACATAACAATAAATAAATATAAAAGTTGTTTTTTAGCAAAAAAATAAGCAAACATGGATTACAATGGAGAACTGGGTACAGGCACAGTGCTTCACTGGAACTACAGAGGATTCACTGAATTTCCTCTAAGTCAACTTGAAGGTGACGAAGCAGATGTCACAGATATATATTTAAAGGAAAATCTTTTAACACGTTTACCAAGTAACATCGGTATTTTGGAGCATTTAGAGAGTTTGTATGTAAGCGGTAATGATATAACCGAGCTACCAAGAGAGATAGCGAAGTTGCGATGTCTCAAGTGTTTAGATGTGAGTGGGAATAGATTGAAGCGTATTCCTGATGAAATAGGCGAAGCGCGAATTTGAAGTTTCTAATACTGGATGAAAACGAGTTGGTGGAGCTTCCGTTAAGAATTGGCGAACTGAGACGTCTACAGTACCTATCGGTTTGTGGTAATTTGATTCTTTATTTAATTTTACGATATGGGTCTCGGTAAATTGAAATTTTTAAATAAATATTTGTACTATTTAAATGTCGTTTCTTATGGTTAAAATCCCGTGTGACATATACGTTTACACACTATAAGCTTTTTATTAAATTTGTAAGGTCTCAAATATGAATTAATTACGTTATGAATCAATGATAAGATACTCTTATCATTGAAAACATAGTTAGTGCTTCTCGGGGTTTTATGTAGTACACGTAAGTATAGTAGATAGATAAGTTTTAATGGTACACAAACAAAACAAAATTTAAGAATACTTCTAAACGTTTATCTAGTAAACTAAATAGAATAATTAATATTGGGATTTTATTCCTAACCCCATGAATAGGAGCGTGTCAAACATGAATGAAGTCTTAATCCATTGTAATTCAATGGATATTTTTAAATGCAAGTCAAAGAACTTATCACCGATCGATTAATATTCATCAATCAAATAAATTATTTAACTGCAAATAAACCATAGTTTTAACAAAACTAGTACTTACTAGAAACAATCAAAACTGTATATCGACAGTGTATATAATACACTGTATATATTTCCTCAAATGCGCTAAAAAAAGTTGCTTAATGTGCGAAAATATATTATTTTCAAATGAAATATCCTGTATGCACATTAAAATACCCAGAGCGTACAAACGTGATATAGTAAACCATACCTATTTTTGAAAGTAAAAAAAGTAAGTTAGGTTAGGGTAGAACAACGACAAGAAGACAATGAAAACGAATCGCTAATCGCTGTCTGCAGAATCGCTTTTCATAGAATAATAATATTTATTTGTAATAAAGTGGTAGTCACAGTAGATAGGATTAGGACAGTAGATAGCCATTCAATTTTTTTAAATAATTCAGATAAAATTATGAAAAAAAGAAAATGGATGACTAATTTCCTCTTAAATACATTCCAATTGAAATATTAAAAATCATATTAAAAATTTTAATACACTAATGCATTTCTGAAATGATATGACTGAGTAGAGTACTTTTAAAAACATCATTGACTGAGTAAAAGCACTGCTACTAGCCAATTTTTTTATGTAGCATAAAATTTGTGAAAAGGCAGAGTTGCATATTCACCGGCAACGCGTTATAAATAAGTGGTGTCATATAACACAGCTCAACCTAAAATACGAGTGAGTATTTTTACGTTTGTTGGGATTGTCCTTAAGTACAAAGGGCTCTTTATTGCACTTCACAAAATTAGCTACTTTGTAGATGAACATTCTAGGGCCGGTCAACAGATTATGAGATACAAACATTGAGATTATGAATATGAGATTCAAATGGCGATACGTCACGAACTCAAATTGTTGCTAAAATAATAATCGTTTTGAGGTAACTATTTGCTGTGCAAGCAGTACTTTTTTTTTAATATTGCAGACGAGCAGACGAGCCACCTGATGGATTGTGACCATCGCCGCCTATGAACATTTATTTTTTTGATTAGGATTGGGATTTTTTTATATTAAAAAGAAAGATTTTTTGATTTGCAGTTATTAAACTAAACCTTTTGATTGGGGGTAGTATTTAGTACCCTTAATTTCATTCGCTTTGTCAGCAAAATCATTTTTTATTTATTTAATTAAACCTTTTCGTTTTAGATGGAGTTTTCAGTTACTATATAGCATCCATTTCGAATAAAACCTGCAATAATCAATATTTTTAAATACATACAGTAATTTATTAATGTAAAAACTTATATAGACAAGGAAGATTCTGATTTGATATAATATCAAGCTCCTTTTTTTAGTATATGCCTTAGGTATATGAAAGTAGTTAAAGCGTCTAGGTATTTTTCTGGTAATTTTAAAATTTGCATCCAACAGTCAAGACAAACTTTTAAGGTTTTATGTTTTTTTGACACTGTCAGTCAGTACAAATTACTGAGACAAGAGACACCTCACGTACGGTCGCCTGATTCGGCTCTTCAATAAAATTACACACACACAGACAATAAAAAAAATCATCCTCATCACACAATTATACATCTGAGTGACAATCAAACACGCAGCGGTCTGTGATGTAACCGCTGATGTAGTTACCTATTTTAATCTTTCAAAAATCTACTTACTTACCAGAGGAGTTTAGAATACTAGACTGAATACTTTCACATACATTTGCATTGCATACATTGCACAAGAAATATCATTTCATTATTTCATTTATTTCATTTCATAAATGTAAAATAAAATCCTTTTTTTTTTGTACACAAATGAAAATGAAAATGTACTCTTATGTAAACGGTGCACCAGTTACTTCGCTAATATGTGCCAGTTCCAGTTTTTTCTAGCCGTCGTAAAGTTAAAGACAGTAGTTTTGGCGCCTTAGATAACAAACTATTCTCGATAAATCAACTTTAATGTTTCCTCATTGATTCTGTTGACCCATTTCGGTTGTGTATGTTAGAGTGGCCTAAAAGGACCGCCATACAATGTTTGAATTAAAAAGTGCTTTAGAGTTAATTTTAAAATGGGATGTCTGCAGTTGTTTTGTTAACCAACTTGAAGACTTTGTTCAATTACGCTGTTGTTAGTTATTTATTAAATTTTTAAAGAGATGGGTTCTGTGTGTCTCATGGTTAGCAATCCTGAGTGCTAACCCGAGGTCACTGGTTCGATTCCCACCTAGTAAAAATATTATATGGTGAGCAAAATTAATCTTTCTGTGTCTGGGTGTTGTTCTTTTAAATTATATGTTTGTATTTTGAAATATATAAGTATTTTGATTTGGAAATATCTGTGTTCCGTTGACGGCAAGTCTTGCTAATACCTTTAAAATACATAAGTAAATGGAACCAAAACTAAAGTTGAATACATTTGGGTTTTTAATACTCCGCAGTCTATCCGCGATAAAAACGAGGGTGTATGGTCTAGTGTAATTAACTATCTAACCAACAGTCGTTGGAAAAAAAAAAACATTTCAGATAATTATCTAAAGATGGATTTAATATTTAATAAAAGGTTTATATTTTTTACTATTACTTCCTACTCGCCAATAAAAATAGATTATTTATTGCTTTCATTTATTAAATAAAAAACACAATACTAATGGAAAATAGGTTCTTCACGGTTCTTGCGATATTTCGATCCTTAAATAGTTTAGCACTTAAATATGCATCTGGGCGAAGATTCTAAGTATATTTTCGTTTAAAGCATATTAACGTTATGTAAACATAAACACAAGAAGTAGAACTTTCTGTCGAGATCAAGAATAAAACAACATACCGCTTCCGTCTGCTCGTCGAAAAAGGGAACACCGAATACTTAAACAACATACATTAAAAAGTAAAGAATACCAAAGATTTTTTATGGAATAGGACTGCAAACGAGCAGACGGGTGAATGAGGCTACCCCTCCTCCCTCTTCCCTTAAATCCGGGGCAGGGGAGACTCAAAGGGTGAACTCTTAAGTGAAGAGTTCGATTAGATGTCTTCCTATATGTTGAACTCGTCATAATTACCAGCTGTAGCTGTAATTAGCTGTATGTCCTGATGTAAATAAACAACATCCATAGACATTTTTTTTTACTTCTGTTTAACACAATCTCATAAAGAGTTGCTAGGCTAACTAAATTTAAACATTAGGTCCCTGAATCCTTTTAAAAACTATAACCTAACATATACTTATATAACTTTCAGATAACAAGTTACGATGCTTCCTCAAAGACCTGTATACAACTACCATCACTGTGAGTTTAGATTCTGGAGGAACACTTGTTTGAAGACTCTGCCGTACTCGCTGTGGTATCACATGTTTAGAGATCAGCAAACTAGATGTCTGAATATTGGGTAAGTTTTGATAGTACTTGTATTCGCCAACTATTTCCAATAAATCCACATTGGCACACGCAACACTCGTATCTCTTTGATTAATATGTACTTTAAATTCAGTTGCGGTAACTTAGTCATGAATTGTGGAAAGTGTTATTAGTCCGGTCATTTTAGACATAAAAATATGTGATTAAATAAAAAAAATTCCGACAGAGCCAAATCTTTGTAGAGACCTTAGGTTTACCACAAGGAATAAAGTGTCAAAAGTACCCATCAGTCCCATGTGAGCTTAGGGACTTATTCGGGGCCCAAGGTCAAAATTTTAGGTTTTTTTAGGTTATTTAGGATTTTAAGTTTTATCGAAAAAGTACCTCAGAGCAAAGTTGTAGATCTTACAATTCTCTATAAAAATGGTCCCTATGATTTTTCTCTAAGACCCACTATTTTCCCCGATATTGCGTTTGTAAGAATCACGTTCTACATAATATGCACACATTTCCAAACCACCTGTAAGGTAGTGTACTCGGCGCGTTTTTTTAAACGTGGTATCCCCGGTAGGCCTATTCCATACATATATATTCTATACATTAATATCAGCATTATCTGCAACATATTGAACAAATGTGCCAGTTTCTGGGGATAAAATGTGAGGTGGCGACTGAAAACTGCTGCTACTTCATACTTCATTGTTTCACTGTAAGATGCGCATAAGCCAAACGATGAGAAAATTTGTATAAGCCGTTTTGAACAAACCGCCGATGGAAAAAAACTGAAAGACCCAGCTGTAATTTAAACTTGAAGGATCTAGGACGAACAGCAGTCATTATGCTATGACTAATATTTGTGCAAACTAAATTTAAATGATCCAAATCATGACGCTTATTTTAAGAATGATTGTCCCAAAAAAAGATAATGATTCGGGAATATAGTTTTTTATATCTTCAAACATTCTACCGGTGGCGGGTACATAGTATATCAATATACAAGATTGAAAATCTTCTCGATAATTTTGCCGCGCTT